CTTGGAAGGAATTGCTCTAATCTTACCCAGCTCCTAGGACTTTGTAAAGCTGCTAATCTCCAGTCGGAAGAAMTGGGTAACTTGCAGCTCTCTTTGTAAGCAATTTGGCTGGCAGCGAGGGACCCAAGTGCTGAATGTCTCCTACGTGTGGGCAATCACGGCCCATTGATCCCCACTGTGACTGAGGGTGCCAGGAGCTGTCTGGAGCCCTCTTTAATGGTGGGAAGAATTATCTGCAAGTTGCTGTGATACCCAAGTACTTAAAAGGGCTGAAAGCCTTGAGGGGGAAAGTGTTTTATTTCTTTTCAGTGCGGTCCAGTCAGGTCTGTAAGTGGAAGTGATTCTTTCAGTGTGATGCTTTAGTGTTTCGTTCTYGTCTGTAGAACATTGAGAGTTGGAYTAAGTGTTGAAGACTGGAAAGAAATATAATTTGCAAGAACTGTATTTTAATTATCTTTGATTCCTAGCCCTATAGACGTATTCCAGACAAGCTCTTACAGAAGTTGAACTGCTCTACTTGTTACATAAAGAGAGCATTTGGTTAGAATTCCAAAGTGTTTTCATTGTCTTTCTTGATACGATGTTTGTRCCTCTTCCTATAATTGGTTTAAATTAATATTAAAATAATCAAAAATCTGCTTTGAATGAGGTAATGGATTTAGACAAGTGATACCCACTCTTATTCATTAGGTGAAAAGGCACCGAAGGAAGAGAGTTTTGTAAGTAATCATTTAATTAAAAAAAAAAAAAAAAAGAAAAAACCTGCAGTGAAGGAAACTGTCCAACTGAAAAAATAAAATGGTGTGAAGGTATAGAATAAAAAAAAAAATCTCCACTAAGGGTATTCTGCTTAGATATCTTTTGGAATTAATGAATGCGGAAAGGATCTAAGAAAAACTACATACCRACGTATTTCAGCCTTCTTGGCACTCATCTTTGGTATCCTACAGCAGTTAATGTTAATATATAACTTTTTACTACTTGCTTTCTTCAAGCCAACATACTTTCAACGTTACTTATGCATTGCTGTCTGTCTGCCTGGTCGGAGTCAAATCTCAGTGGTGACCATAACTATTATGCCTACTATTTTTCATCCATGGATTTCAAAGACTTTTGTAGAACAATTCATAAAGGTTCTGATGCCCATAATGGACTTTCTAATAGAATTTGACCTAAATTGGGCCTCCTCATATGAGAAGAAAAGGGTAGGATACTTTCCTTGGGAAATGGTTTATAGGTCCTACTCTCCAGTCGGGCACCACGGTGGGATATTGTTTAGTGACTCCTGACAGTATGTGCTTGTTATTTTATCCCATACTAAACTTTTCAGTCGGTCCTTCAACTCCTAAATCAGTCGCACAAAATGCTGTTGCGAGCCTTGATTCTAACAACATGTTCTGGCAGGATTCGTGAGAAATAAAGCAACAGAAATGTGAAATGTTCCCTTTGCAATTAGTGGATAAACTTCCTCAGGACTCAAGGGACCTAGAGCTTAATAGTTTGTTATGTTGATTGCAGAGAGTAAAATATTTCATCCTTTAAGGCAGATTGCCAGCTAATCTTCTCTCTCCTTTCTGCCTCGCTTCCATCTCCCTGCCGATTGAAATTTTGGTCCAGGGGAGGTTGGCTGTTGTGTTGTAAACTACTGTATGAAGATTTGTTACAGAAGCATGGAATATAGAACAAATTGTTTCAGTTTTCACTGTATGTATAACAGTAGTGTTCCATGTACAGAAGGATTTTGGAAAAGATATACTATAAACATGTACAAATGTTTGCTTTCATTACTTAAACACATGTAGCCTGTTATTGAAGCTCCTGCAAAATGAAATTAAAATTTCAGCKTATTTTCTTTTTTATGCCCTCCCCACCGTGAAAGAGATCTTCTAATTTTCACTTCCTTGTGTGTAATATTAATTAGACCCTGCAGAATGTCATCTTGGAAAACATGCAGACAAGTTTACCCAATCAAATCCGCCCTGCTTGCTGCATTTCTTCTCCTTTATGTAGCTTCACAACAAATGGGCTCATGCTCTTATTTGTAGTAACTATGGAAACTTTAGAAGCTGTCTTTCTAAAGCTGAGTATACAATAAAGTGCTTAAAGTGTTGGTAGGATTAGAGACTCTAGAATATGTTTAATTTTCTCTCTGTGCCTCTATCTTTGGAGAGGAGCAAGAGGGTAATGTGAATATTAGCTGGGGACTAGCTTTAATCTCTGCTGACACTTAAGTCTGTCTAGGTCTGCCCACAGCCATCCAAAGGTCTTAGCCTCACACAGCATGCGAACAAGGAGAGTCATACATATTCATGACTGAATTTACAATGAAAAACCTACATGCAGAAAAGAAGTTTGGAGTGAATGGAAACGTTATTGAAACCATTTTCCAGCTTCAGCTACAGTAGTCAATAATGATAAATGCCGTAATGATGATAGAGTTCATAAGATAATGGAGATGTCTTAGATATTATATAAGCATGAAKGGGTATGATAATAGGAAAGCATCCTTTGCTCTGGGTTTTAAAAGTGTTTTGTGCCAAAAGGCAGAAAGATGGTGGTAACGAAACTATTCCCAAGCCCTAATGCAAAAAAAAAATTACTGTTTTTTTTTTCCCCCCTGTGCGTGGCACTTCATGCAAGTGAGAACGATTACGTGTTGAAAATTGCATCTCTTTTTAGTGGGTAGTCTTGCAGGCAAGTGGAATTCATAGATGTATTTTAGGAACTTAGAGAAGCCTGCTGCTTCAGAGCCAAGGAAGGTAATACTGTATTTCTCACAATTCCCTGGGGGAACTTCGTGGTACTTTCTGTCATTTGCAAACTGTCCTAAAAGAGGCCTAGGAAAAAAGATSAACGCGATAGGCCTTGCTCATCCACATCCATTCACTTGCACACTTGACCATTCCCGTGTTTTTTCTCACCATTGGAGCTGACAAGTGAAATTATATGTAGTTTGATTTCTGTGTTTTTATTTTACTGTTTTTTTGGTATGCTCAAAGATGTTGTTCCCAGTGGAAATATTCTTCTTACATAAGTATTTTGACACTTGTCTAGTCATTTAACTATAGTAGTAATGTACTGGCCAGAGAGCATTAATTGGCATTTTTTATCATTTTCCCCTATTTAGGCTTTGATGTGGTACATTTTTTATTTGTATTTCTTAATTTCTCTCAGTACCCCACCTGAATTCAGCCTTTTGTCAGAAAGTTAAAAATGAAGGAGGTCTGTAGCATCTTTTTGATCACGTAATGATAACTGTGTCAGCGAAGGAGAGCTCTGCAGTTGATACTGCTTTAATACTGCAAATTTTTAGTTTCTGGTTCTGGCYGCTTGAATCTAAAAATCAGTATGAACTGCTACTAAAAGTCAGAGGGCTGTTTCCCTGGTGCATGTCAGTGCAGGACTCTGCCCTGGCGTGCACCGTTCCTGTGATGTTTGGCCAGCTACTCTTCATTTGAACCTTGTCCTCTGCGTTGATGCCTTGTGTGCTTTCTGTTTCAATCCCTCTGTCCTCTTTGGCATCTCAGTAGTGCTTGGTTGCTCATAAACTGTTATTTTCCTCCTTTTTTGTTCTCTCTTTGTCGTTTCCCGTCTTTTAAAATGGGAATTGCTGCTCTTGGCTGGTGGGGCATCAGGAGAGAGTGCGCTGGTGCTCAAAAGAGTGGGAAATGGGTTCRGTCGTTGCAAGACACGCAAAGAAAATAGTATGTGAAAATAGTAAAGATCACTGTAGGAATGCCTATGTGCAGTGCCTGCTGCAGTAGTTCTGCATTTTCCAAATGTGGTCAGGATAGATTTTGTAAGAGCATTCAAAGTCCATTTGGTGTATTCTTTTGGCTAAAGYTCCCCCCTTCCCCAGTTGAATTTTCCCCTCCACGCCCCCCCAGCAAATGCCCTTAAGAACAGTGTCTTATCTCTACACTTAGACACTGTCCAACCCAAAAGACGTCAAGGGGATGAGTAAATTATGCATATTCTTCTCCTGGATGTGAAGCTACATGCAGTAAATAATTGGTGCCCCGCAGGCAAACCACTTTTGTATGATTCAGAATGGCTCGCCTCCCGTACGGGTAACTTGGGAAAGATTCTATCGTAGCACAGCTTTTCAGCTGCGGAGTTGAGGCTAGCATCTCTGACACTTCRGAAAACAAGCACTGTAGTTCACTTGGAAGATGCCTGCCTGATAATCCCGGGAATTTGAATCCTTTGTCTGCGGCCCTGACATGTGCCTCAATCCTGGCCTCAAGGGACCACCTTAGAAGGTGAATAAGTTGCAGCTTGTGCCCATTTGAACATGAGCAGGAGCTKCTTGCTGGAGATGTTAGCGTCGGTTCTGTTGATGAGTTAGTGAAATCTCCCAGCTACTAGGAACTGAATTTAGATAGCATTAAAAGCTAGGTATTTTTAAGCGTTTCCCACATTATCTATGCTCTTCATGGAGTTAAGATATATTTCTCTACTGCTGCTTGTTTCTTCAGCTTTCACAACTAAAATAATTGGTCATCATCTTTGCTTGTACCTGACTTACAGCTTATGTCGTTTGCCTGTTCTTGAATGTGCAGTGTTGAAATATAAAGATTGCACATGTTGTGATGGACTTTTTTCCCCCTTTTTTTTTTTTAACAAAGCGTTACTAGGAACATCGTTGGAACATTTCAGTTAGTTGTAATTTTGATTTAATACAATATATTCTTTTAATTCCAGCAGTTCACTTGTTTTTTTTTTTATTTTTTTTATTTCAGGTAAATTTAGTAAGCTTGCCTGAAGTTAATGGACATGCCTCAATTAAATTTAAATTACCTTGCATGCAAGTATTTGCAGGCTTGGAGTCATAACCTGTAAACGTCTTTCTTTTCTAAACCCTTGATTTTGACTGTTTTTCTGGGTTTGAGGTTTTGGGGGGTTGGAGTGGGGGGAGTGGGTGGGAGTGGTTAAAAAGGATGCTTGTTAAATTAAGTTGTAACATCTTCCAGTTCCAGTTCCTTAACTTTGTCCAACAGTCGTGAACCAGTGGGCTGTGTTTGCTATCCGCAATCTCACTGAGCAAAACCAGAGAAACCAGGAGCTCATTGCACAGCTGGAGGAGCGAGGGCTGGCAGACAACTCTGTCCTCGAGAGTATGGGTCTGCAGGTAGAGAAACAAGAGGACAAGTTAATCCTGAGATCTGGTAGAAAAAAACCTTGAGGAACCAAATAGGAACAGTTGAATCACTGAAAGAGAACTTCTCCCTCAACATGTTTTCCTTTGTAAGGCAATSGAGTTTTCTTCAATTTGCGTTCTACTTGGATGGAAATACTGTGTTCTTTTTTTCTCTGAAAAACTGTCAAATAATAGTTGTCCCTCACTGTTACAAAMAAATGGGCACCTATAAATTTTCTGACTACCTGGAAAATTATCTGCTTAGGAAAGAAAAAAACCCAAACTTTTCACATGGGTGAAACTTTATTGCTTTCTTGTTTAGTAAGAAAATATCATGCATCTAGCATAGTACTGAGTTGTTAGCAATTTCCATTGAARGAATTATCATTAAAAACCCTACAAAGGGATAAAACTGCTTTGCAGCGTGCCTTAAAAGATTTATGGTGTGTCAGGGGTAAACAAATGAAAGCCATTAGTTTTTGATCAGTGTACTTCAGTATTTATACTTGTATAAAGAACAGCAAAACATCAGATGTACATAAATATTTACTGAATTAAACACGCAACATGGCCTTTGTGTATTTAAATTATTAGTAAATTGTGTTTTCTACCTTGTTACCTTTCAGTCCTCATGACAAGTATATTAAAAACAAAGCTGAAGCTGTTGTGGCAACAGATGCTACATTCTTTTGCACTGGGGCATGTCTCTGTTTTGGAGACTTGGGTGTTTGTTTGAATTTTATTTGTTCCTTTGGATGGTAAGTCAGCCCACTTTCCTTTCATTTTGCACTTCTCATGGGTTTTCTGAACTCTGGCAGACTCCTGAAGAGGTAGTTTCTCACTGTGATTAATTCTAGCAGTTTCTTTTCACCCCTCTGCCTTTCCAAAACATTGACAAAACTCATTTCCAGTTAATTAATTCAAGAGAGGCAGAAGAATGGAAAGCCCGGCCTCTTCATTTTGGGGACCCTCCTATATTGTTGCTGGACCCTGCCACTGTGGAATGTGGCATGAATGAGACGGTGGGAGAAGGGGGGGAAAGAGCTCACGGTTAACTCTCTGCGTGCCATGCAGTTGCTGCACTGACTGGGAAATGTAATCCTCCATGCCCAAAATGGAGCTAAAATTGCACTTTGATGACAATATTGTTAGCTCTTTTACATCCTTTTTCACTCATCTCTTTTGTCAGACAGAAGAGTCATGGTAAAGCTGTTGGTGGTGGTGTCGTTTAAATCCATTTTATTTGGAAGTGCAGGTTTATGTCCTAAAACTACCTGTAACACCAGCTCAACCAGGTGTCAAAGCTTGTGCTTCTGAAACTTCTTTCTTCACTTAACAATGGGAAAAAAATGACTAATATATAGGAATGCATAAAACTATTTGAGAGAATAGCCAGGCAATTAAGATTCTGGATCTTGTGTTTACCATGATAACCAGACGGGATTATTGAGTTGATGCACTGGGATTTTATTCACCCTTGGGTTTTTAAAGGCAGTGATAGAAAACTGGTAAATCCCTAATCTTTCATTAAATAACTGTAGGTATAAAGGGATTATGACAGTATGGACAAAAGCAAACTATTCCTTTGGTTGCTCTTTGTGATTTTTCTTGTCATTTTAAAAGAGATAGAGGAGAAAAGTGTTACTTGTTTTAAAGACAAATAAGTATGAAGGTATTCTTTTTTAATAATTTGACAGGAACATTTTAGGAGATATTAAAAATTGTGTGATGCCAGTTTATGAAGTTATTCATTATACAGGTAAGCACTTTCAGGTAGCTGAAAAAGTATTTTATGTATTTTTGGTTCTCCTTGAGCATGTACTCTTTCTGACTGTGGTTTCTCAATGGTTTTCATAAGTTTTAATTCTTATACATAGGCCAGAATTCATTTCAGAGTTGAATCACTGTGTCATGTAAGATTTAAAGATGACTTTCTTTGGTTCTTAATCATTACCTTTACAACACTGAACTGAAATTTCATACTTCTAGCTTCTAAGCGACAAGAAAAAGAATTAGAGCCCCCCCTCCAAAAAAAAAAAAAAAAAAATTCCTCTTTATTTCTATTCGGAGGGCTACATCATTCAACCTAAAAAAAAAAGTTGGCTTTTATTTAGCAAAGGATGATCAAAGCATAGAAATAGAACCTGCAAATATAGAGAAGGTGTTTACTATCAAGTAACTCTAAAACTTAAAACATTTTATTTTAGCAGTATTATTTAGGAAATTCATGTTGGATGATTCGACCAAATTTCTGTTTGAAAAAAATGCAAAAAAAAATCATGTAGGTTAATAAAGAGTTAAAATCCTGTTCACAAAGCAAATCCAGAAAGAACTTTGGTTGTGGAAAAAGCAGTGGGAGTCCCTTTTTCCTTTTAACCAGTTTAGAATAGACAGCTTTTTTTTTAACTTGATGGCTGTGTACCCCCCAATAAAAAACAGACAAATCCATAAATAATTAGCGAAATAAAAACAAACACAGATAAATAAGAGTTTTGTGTGTTTCAGTACATAACAGGTAAATAGTTATGTTTTCTAAATGGGAAATGTAGGGCTTTCACAGTGCAGAACATGCTGATTACTGTTTTGTGAGGGGCTGGCTTTTGATTTTCCTCGATGGATTAATTCTCGGAACACAACAGCTTCCCTGTCCTTCCCCAGTGGAGTCCCAGTCTCCAATAGGCTTGTGTTATATGCCAGGGRATTAATACAGCACAGCAATCAGTCATAAAAAGCAGGCTTTATTGAGTTTGTAAAGAGGCAGAACAGTCAGATCAAGTCTTGTGACCATCTTATTGCTTTCAAGTGCTTGTGAACAATAGCGATCAGATTATTTTTTTAAGGTCCTTTTTTTGTATTAAAAGCAGATAGAAAGTTGTATTGTCATCAAATTGATAGCTTTTCCAAAAGCTTTGTAGCACATCATGAGAAATAAGTCTAAACTTTTTAAATGTTTTAAATATTTCCTACTTCTAAMATGTTTTAATTAAAGAGCTTTTAAAATACATACCTTTAAAGTGCAATCAACAAAAATATCACAGGCAGCCAATGCCAGAATCAACTTTTATTTAGAGTTTGATTTCATAATTTGGGGGTTGTATGAATGAGTAAGGAGACTTCCCCACAACTCCCMCCATTTTTTCCCCTGAAAAAAAGCAATAAAAATGTTGTGCCTGCTCCACCTAAAACTATTTTAAACTCTTTTTTATACCATACTTTATATAGATCATAGTTTCATGCAGGCTTAGAATTTTGTCTCCTTACAGTACTCGAAGTTGACTTCTTCATAGTRAATTGGGGGCGGGTGGGGACTTCAAAATACCAAGGCAGAACAACCCTAAAGGAAAGATTTTATGCTTCCACTTTTGCTTCCTCCTCAAAATGCGGAAGATTTCCCTTGGGGCCAGGCATCCCTTTGGCCTTTGGAGGTTGCAGCRAGAGGCCGGAGGGGCAATTCTGCGTGCAGAGCGTGGGTGCGAGTGTCCCTCGCGGGCGAGGGAAAGCGCCAARTTTGTTGCGTCCCTTCAGTGCTGTCCAAGGTTCTGATGAAACTGCCCACTGCTTTGGAGACCTCACGAATGTTCTGAATGTCTGCCAAAAACATAAAGCAATTATGTAGTTCAGTTGCCACTATTTTTTTAAATTCTTTTTTAAAAATTTCTTTTAGAATTGCTTTGCAGTAGATTGCGGTTAAAATACATATGCTGCTTTTTAAGTCGAGTGTTTTCCTGCAGGGTTACATAGGGAAGGTATTTAGGTGGTCTRTGTTGCTGTTTGTGGGCAGACCTGCTAGCAGTGTCCCGATTTAGGGCTAAATAATGCTTTCCATTACAATCCAGTTCCAGTTGCTTGTAGTTTGTCCAGATTTTAGACATCCGAGGGCCATGCAGCATGTCTGCTTCAGGTGGCATTGTTTTCTATATAGGAAAATCCTGTCATACTGATTGAGAAAGTTYGGAGAAGATCCTCGTCCTCACGAGGATGAGAAACTGGCATTGCTTTCTGTAGGATATGGGGTGGGAGGATAGGGCAGGACCACGCATTTTCCCTTCTGTTTCTAAATCAAATCAGGGAGCACAATTGCTTAGAGCCTCTTGGGCAGCTGCAGCAGTTTGCCTTCCAAAAAGTGTCCTTTAGGAAGAGCCTCCCTTCTCCAGACTAAGATCAAAACCATGTCTGACTTCACCCCAGCTTTATTTTCTTTATTTTGAAGCTGTGTGCTTCTTTGTGTTGTCAGAACAGAGATACTCTCAGGCAGATACTTTTACCCTAAAAGTAAAGCTTAATTCAGAAAATACAGCCACTGAAGTCACAGATTTTTTTTTTTTTTTTTTTAAGGAAAGAAACAGTTGAAGGTAAAAACGGGTGGAGGCCAAATACATTTAAAGTTAACCCTACTTGCCTTTTTAGTGTGTCTTGTTTCACCCTGGTTCAGAAGTTAGTTCAAGTACTGTGTGTATCTCAGACACAGCACTGAATCTCCATCTGTAAGGCCTGCTAGGAACATCTTTCCTTCATGTCATTTAGGGAGTGCTTCACTCTGCCCGCTTGGGGAGTTCTTCTGCAAGGCCTTTGCCTTGGGTTGTTTTTTTGTTTGGTTGTTTTTTTTTTTTTCCATCATTATTGTTAATAATTGAAAAGATTGCTGAATATCTATGCTGAATAACACTTTTTGATGTATGTTCTTAGTCAGTATCTGTTATAAAATGAACAGTCCAATCTCTATTGTGTGTTTTGAGAAAATATGATCAAAATACACACAAACACGATAGACTACCCCTTACATGTACAAACCGAATCAGGAACTCCTACTATTTGTGTTACCTCTGAAGCAGACAGGTGAYGAATGGTGGAGATGGTCACCATTTTAACTGTTCACCACTTTATCAGAAAAAARCAATGTTATAACACAGGGAGAGTTGAGGATAAGTAAGGTGAAGAAAATATGAATGATATATTTTATCTTAAAGATCAAGTCCTACCCCCAAGCACASAGGGAATCCACAACTGTTAGCTATGAAGGTTTATATATTGTAAAGCTGAATTATTATTAACTACTATAAGGCCTACTTCTTAAAATTATTCTTTGTGAGCAATTTAATATATGCACATACAAGTATTTTATTGGGGTTTTATTATAAATTCCTTGTACCTTGGATGTTTTAAATAGAAGTTTAACAACTTCACTGAGAACTCCAAACAATATAAGCCGGCAATGTGTTGTTACATTTTTCTAAGAGCAGGTTATGAATCTAGCACGTGTGGATTTTAGAGATAAATGGCAGAAAGTATTTTGCATTCTTGGCAGAAGACTTTCTTGTTACTAGTTATTGATGTCATGCAGCTGTAACTAGCTCAAGCGGGAGGGGATAACTCCTTTCCAGGGATTTCTGAAAATAGTTTGAGTAGGGTGAGTGGAAAAAGCGAACAGAACTGACTGTACACTGTCTGGAGAGCCTGGAGCTGTGGCTT